TCAGCGGTGCCAGCGCGGAGGGTGTAGGTGCCACCGCAGCCCGGGCGCCGCGGGAGGCCAAGGGTGGGGATGAGAGGGTTATTGCTCCCCAGGGCTGCCCAATAAACCCGCCCCAGCTCAGGGTTTTACATAATGATCTAATGCTTTATATTATTATAAGTAGTGACATCATATTAAAATACAGGAGTGCCACTCAAGTGGCAAGGAACACCTAAGATATGTTTTTATACTTGCAATTCAGTTCCTGTGTTTTTAATTATAGATAAGAATTTAAAGTGAAATTATTCATTCTGTAAGTACTATTGTAATGGATCCCTGGCATATAATTAAGAGGCCTTTAATTTTAATTTTGTATACCGAACGCCCGGATCTGGAGGTTTTCCATGCCCTGTATTCAGGGCCTATACCTGCAAAGCTCAAAGCTGCCACTGCAGAGGAAGCTGGAGAGGCTGGATGGTTTGCAAACATAAGAGCTCAGCTTTTATAGCAACGGATACAAAGAAAGAGCTGCTTTAAATTGCAGGCATTTATTAATATTATTAAACGTTGCAAGGTGTTTTCCTGTTTTCTAGCCCATATTTGCAATACAGTTAGTAAATACGGAGCATCTTCCCTCTAAAAACCTTCCCTCCCCAGTACCTAAAGGAGGGAACCTCCTCCTGCAGCGTTCAGCATTTTCTGGAAAGTGATCTCTTTGATGGTAGAAAAATATTTAGCCTATAACCTCAGCGATAATGTGAAAATGGATGTCTCCAGTTATTTGCAACTGGATATGCAGCCCTTCAGCTTACAGGAAAGATTAAAATCACTGTCGCATGATTATTACTAGGTGAGGATAGCCTTTCTGCAAAGGTGACTGTATTTCTCAATTCTAGTAAATACAGACACTTGCATCTTAAAAAGTACAACAGTAACTGGCACCTTTTTGGCAGACTCAGCAGGCAGGCTAAAGATTGTCTCAGCATGTAGAGTGAATTAATATTTCTCTCCCAAGAGTGGGTCCTTCTAGAAAAGGCTTAAGGCAGATTGGTGGGGCACTCAAAGGAAAGCTGCGGGGAGGGGGGACTTTTGTTTATAGGAACATTTTTCAGATTTAGATCTAGAAACATTTAAGTGTTTTAACGTTTTAATCTTGTATGAAAACCTCCGCCCTTGCCTGTCCATTCCTTATGCATTTGATCTCCTCTGTGTTTCACACATCCCATGTTGTCTTCTCCTGTTTCTCTCTGCGCTTCCCCTCTACCCTCCTGCCGTTTGCTGCATGTTCAAATGCCCATCTTCACTGTGACCCCATTTCATTGCTTCTGGATCATGCTCCTAACCCATCTTTCCTGACCCTAACCTGCTGTTGAGCTCCTGTTCCCTCTGCCTTGATGCTCCTTGTCTTCCAGATTTCCCTTCTGGATACTTACTGGCTGCTTTCTCCAAAGCCCGCTCCACAATTCTCCAGGAAAGACCTGTTGAGTATCATTTGCACTTGTAGGGTGCACGATTTAGGAAGCACCACGTTTCCTTCACTTCTTCCTACGACAGGATCCAAAGCTTTTGCTTTGGTCTCCTTGTGCTCACCAGAGAGGAACAACAGTCCCCCGGCACTTGCTTCTATTTGGCACTGACAACTTGGAGGGCCTGCACTGAAGTCTTCTTACTATTATTTTGTTTGGACATATATGCACATCTATGGTAATATAAATTCACTGTGAAGAGATTCATTAACAATTTGCAGTCAAACTGCTGGTATTTAGTGCTAAACAAATAAGGGTGAATAAATCAAATAAGGGTTGAGAAAGACAACATATATCTAACTTCAAACGTCACCCTCTTGGCACCCAGCTGTCATTGCCACCTCTGTTCATGGTTGACCCTGTAAAAAGGCAGCAGGAGGACCGCTCCATTTCAGTGCCCATACCAGGGCACGGCACAGTTCTCCAAAAAGCCAAGAGCAAAACTCTCTCCATGCTTTCCTGGCTGTCCCGAGCCCACAGGTATCAATGGTACCCAGTAGAGCTGGTGGACCTTGGCAGCTCCTCGCAGTGGGAAGGAACAGAAGGAAAAGCAGAGGCTGTAGCTTGGGATTGCCCACAGGAATCAGGGAGCGTTGTGCCTCCCTGGACACTGCAGTCGTGGATGGGATTGTCCCAGTCGGAAGAGGCCGGCTGCGTTACCAGCCCTCCAACAAATCCCTGCTGCACTTCCTTTAGCCTACATGCAAATGGCTCGAGCCACTTAAGGAAACATCTGAAAGGAAATAAACACCAATTAAGGAAGAACCACTTTAGTACAATAAGGATCAGCTCTGGACATCATTTTCTTGCTTTCTATCAGATAAAGCTCCCATTTTTCAGCATTTCATTTTGTACTTAGATTATGTCTTCTCAGATAAGCTTTAAGCATTGCCATCTGTTCGGCAGCAATCGCATGAGCCTATCACTTTGATTCAGTCGAACGCAAATCCCTTTGGCAGCAGGGGAAGAGCAGCGAACCCTCCCGCGGTTCCCGAGCCGCCGGATGCTCCGCGGCGCCGACGCTCCCGCTCCCGCCGGGGCAGCCTCCGCACCGGAGCCTCCGCATCGCTCGCGGGGTTGACCGGGCTCCCCGCTGCCTTCAGCAGCCCCAGGGCTCGCAGCGCAGCCAGGGCCACGTGTCCCTGCCTGCCTGCTGGCGCTCGGAGCAAGGCCCGCGCCGCGGGGAAGGCACCTTCTCCAGCAGCCACGAAGGGGGCCACGGTTACACGGCTCAGGGGGTCTCGCTGCACGGGGCCTCTGCAGACACTGCCCCGGTCAGTGCCACAGCACATCCACCCTGCTGCTTGCTCAGAGCAGGGTGAAGCGGCGCTCGTACACACCATGGAGGCCGCAGCCTTTAACGAGGCTCCGGCGAGCGGACGGGACCTCCTGTTTCGATGCTGTGAGAACTCACCCACTCGGGATGAGGTGCCTACTGCTATGGAGGGGCTTACCAGGAACATCATCCTTTGCAGATTCAGAACTTAGAAGACAGTATTATATAATTCTCTTTCAGATCTGAAAGCATCACCTGTGGTACCCTTTCCCAGTTTGTAACTTTGCATACGCACATGATGTATATCATTTAGATAAAACAGAGAAGAGCTGTGCATTAAAAGCTGTTTTCACAACATCCATCTAGACTTGTCCTCAACAAGGGGTTACAAACATCACTGTTGTCATTCGAACAGAGTTTCTTCTTACTGAAAACTACTGGAATGAGAACTGTGGAGGTGAGAATAACAAAATGCCCAGTGTTCAAGGGTGCAAAGGCAAAAACGGCTTGGACCACATACTGTTCATTTGCATTCTAGCATCTATTTAAACTCAGCATTTTCTTCCTGCTTCTAAGCTCTTTCAATAGTCAATCCAAAAGCAGTCAGTGAATAAATCTCTCAGAAGCAGGCTATCTTTTTTTCTATCGAGCTAAAAGGGAAAGGGTGATTCACGTTAAGTGTATTGATGATAAAAGAGCTCTGAATAGCATTTTATCTGCAATACTGTACTTGAAAGGAGCGACGTGCAAGTTAAACAAACAACAACAATGAATGCATTTTTTTCATGGGTGGTCCTTCTGGAAAGTGTTAACCACATTGAAGTAGACAGTTATTGAAATACGCAATTAATTTTAAGTTGATAGTAGTTGAAACTGTCATTCACCTGAGGAGGTGGTGGAAGAATCTTCTTGCATATCTGCTGATTGGGTCCCTGTACTCCAACACGGTTGCATCCAAGAGGGGTCTTGTTGGAGCATAAAAGGTTCCCAGGCTTGCCTCGAGCTGCGCTGTGGAGTTCAAACACAGCAATGAAACAAGGGAAACTTTCAATTACAACAGGTTGTTCATGTTTGCAGTCAGTCAAATTCCTCAAATGCTGATGAAATGTGATGTTGTTATAGGACGGATGAAATTAAATTGTGACAGCTTGTATGAACACAAATGTGCATATAAACTTTCACTTGAGGCAGAGCTGACTTTGAGCAGCTAAAGCTGTCAGAAGGGAGCAGAACTCTCTACCCCACGAGGTTCTCACCAGAAGCATCCAATTAAGAGTGACTCACAATTTGAACAAGTTTATCCAGTAGACATCAACTCTCAGCTCCAATTTTTGTCCTCTTAAGGAAACAGTAACAAAGTTCTTTTTTTTTTCCAGGGATTACTGCAATGTGTTAGGTCAGCAGGTGACAGAATCTTTCTCGAGATCACCTTCAAGTCGAAGCAACCTCGGCCAGTAGTTCTGTAGTTCTTTAAAAACTTCAAATAAAAGGGCCTGGAAGTTTGATTCTCTTACAGCTTGTAGTGGTGCAAGAAAGGTTAACCTCCCTTGTAACCTCCCTTACTCTCCACTTTAAATAATTCCTGACCTGCTCTACTCCTTTACTGTGGCTCCCAGATATTTTCCTACATGTTTTTAATAAAAAATCACACATAATCAGTGAAAATGTACATTACATGTTTGTGTTGCAAATGCCTAGCTGAAAGGAAATATAATGATCAATAAAATTTATTGACGTGTGATTTCTGATTGAAAGCTAATACATAGTTCCTTTTCCTGACATGCATGACAAAATGACTGATAGGAGTCTCTCTTTCTTATATCAGAGGGAGAATATGATATATCAGCATAGGTTCTTCTTTCAAAGTGGAGGAGCAAACTGTTACTGCTAACCCAAACTTTGTGTGGGCTTTAAAAGCAGAATAAAACCAACCTGTTGTCTCATTAGGCAGAAGAAGATCTAATTGATTTGCTGTTATTAAAGTGTGTTTGAAGTAGCCATTTAAGTATTCAGCGATAGGGGTTCTTTTTAGTTCCAAGCATGGTTATATTTATTTTATTAGGCTTGATAGTGCTGAATGTGCTATTAGTACCATGTTAGTAACACAGCAAACTATTAGTAAATTAGATTTTGCATTATCTTAAATCTAGACACTAAGATAAGCTGAACTATAGAGGCATTTTCTTTCAAAGCAGCAGTCAATTTAGATTAAAATTGAATGCAGCGGTGCCTTTGCAAAGCAAGCCACACTCTCTGCCATTGCTGTTTTCCTGACAGCATGTTTTGTACTTTAGAAATGTTTCAACCTACATGGAATATGAGTAACTACTAGCACAGTTATAGATTCATTAGATAGCCCAGCTTGATGTTGAAGGCAGAATAAGGATCTCAAAGATAACTGCCACATTGCTAGAAAAAGAAAAAAAGGCTTCACTGGGCTCTGCTAATAAAAAGAAAATAAATTACCATGTCAAATTTGTTAGATGCATATAGAACAAATCCTGGATGAAATAAAATTCCGCCTGCTGTAAACAGTGTCGGGGAGCTGCATGGTGGGGAAACACGCAGACATCTCTCCACGACGTGCATATTTTTACAAGTGTTGCAAACCCAGCCCTTTTCATGTGTGCTTTTAAAAGCATGTTTTATTTAGAATTGATAATTATGTTTACAATGCAGAGGTTTTTTAATCTGCTCTCGTAAAATGGGGTAGCTGACGGCTTGGCAGCAACACGGGACACGTTTTTCTATCATCTCCCACGGCTCATCCCTGAGTGCTCATTCCTGCCACGAGCCACGCAGGTCCCCAGCTGCCTTGCTGCCAGCCTGGGGCACAGCACCTTCCCACTGAAGCAATGCACTCAAAATCCTGAAGCCTACTGAGCTGCAACACAGACAGCGATGCAGGAGGAAGGCAGCACGGCGGGGCTCAGCAGAAATGGGGCTGAAACAAAAATTCCTCATTTCTTGTTAGGGACATGAGCTCTTGCTGCAGGGGGGCAGGAGGCTGCAGGGAGGACAAATGCTCTGATCCTAAAGGAGGCAGCAGAGGACAGTGTATTCAAAGCCCCTGGGCGTGCTGTAGAAGACCCTTCTCAAGCACCTTAAAAACCTCACTAAAACCTCTTGTCCCTGTACAGGAGAATGTCCCTCCTTAAGCTGGTGCTCAGTATGAATATAAAATGCATATTTGAGTCCTATACCAGCTAAGAGTACATAAGTAAAGTTTATGCAACTATATTATAGCGTGTATAAGATATTGCTATACACATATTAAGTCACACCTACAAAATATATACATTCAAATATGCATAGTTTTAGGATTACTGCTGATATAAATATGAATTAAAGCACAATCAACACACTGACCCAACTGTTACTGAAATTACTTATCTACGTATAATGTTTGAGAGTACCATTATTCTAGCTGGATTCTCACTACTATCTTCTTTGTAAAGTCAATAAATAAACTGCCGTAATCCACACACGAATTACAAAGGCCCCACAAAAATATATTAGGAAAATGAGCAATGCTGACCTTCTCTCTCCGGTGTAAGCTTTTGCTTCAGAAGGTGGTTTACGACGGCAGTGAGGCTCACGTAGCACTGACGCCCCATGGTGTTCCAGTCCATGGTGCTCAGGACGCCGACGGCTTCGCGTGTCTCGTCGTAGCGGAGGTACTGGTGGATGAGCTCCACGGGGCCCAGCCGTCCCCCCGTGATCACACCTGCCACAGCAAACAGCAACAGCACGGAGTGTTACGAGTGCGTGAAGCAAAAGCTGCTGAAAAGAACTGGGTTTGGTTAAAATTAAAAACTGAGGTTAGTGGGTTTCATGATTCAATATTTATATGATATTTATGTGACATAGCTCTTTATCACCTTGGTATACTCAACAAGGGGCAGTGGAGAAAAACTACCAGTGAACTTCACATATGGAATGGGGGTGAATATGGTCAGTACCTACCAGTACCTACCAGCATCACAAAACCAAGTTTAAAACCTTATTCCCAGTTTATTTTTTCTGATATATTCCTACCTACTCATAAATTCAGGCTCCTAGCACCTCTTTCCTATAGGAGACAATGCTTAAAAATAATTATGTGCGTACAGAAATAAAATCTGCACCAGCTCAAACTCCACAGAAACAGTTGCTGTTATTCTGCACATTGCTGTTCCTCTAAAGCCTAGTTCTAGTTTGTTATCACTGCTGCTCCAGATATCAGAACAACTTCCAAACAATTCAAATAATGTCAATGTAATTTATTATTGGTAAAAGCAAGGGATTTTATAGTTGCACATATCCCAGAGAACAGATGTGATATCACATGCCATATATAATACATTCATTCATACATACATACATACATACGTACGTACATAATTATTTAGGAAAACTACATCAATTAAAAGAGTTATATTCAACTGTATTTGTGGAAGATCTTTCTTTGCTGGAAGAGATTTTGAAAATTGCTATGCAAGATGCAATGATGGGTAGTAGGATCCAAAAATCCAGTTGTTTTGAAAGGGCAAAAACAGAGGAGTCTTAAGTACTAACGTAAGTAGCTAATTCTAGAAAGGCTGGAGATGACTGCAGAGGCAGAATCAAATAAACTGATTCCTTGAAAGTTTTCTGTGTGTTTGTATGTAGATCTGCTGATACTAATACATGTTAAAAAAAGACCACAGCAGCACTACTGCTGTATTTACAATGCTAAAGGCAAAAGTTGGGAATATATTTGCTGATTCAGCAGTGGTCCTAAGTAAAAACCTAATTTTAAGCATGCCCAGAGTCCTCAAATTCACTTTTGACCTATTTGGTTGAGTCAAGTTACTTTGCTGGGCTGCCTTATGGAATGAATGCTCTATATAGCACATGAACTATACTGTACATATACATAACCAGGAGTCATTAATGACTGTATTTCAGTCCTGTATAGCTGCTTTCTTTTTCTTTTTTTTTTTTGACACTGAGACTTAATTTTTCTGCATAACTCGCATTTGTATTATTTATTAAATACCACGCACCTAAAAGCTGCTGAGCTTGGCAAGCCAGGCTGAGTAATCAGTACAGCAGTAATAGTCTAGCAGACTGAGTGAAAAGAGGAAAATCTGAAAATCAGGATGCAGCAGAGAAGAACATATGTTTTGCTACAGACAGGAAGGGTTGGGACAGATAGGGAGATCTTTGCTTTCTCCTCAATGAGATTTCACAGTAATTATAGTGAATGAATTTTAAAATATGATAACTTCCAGCTGTAGAGGTCAACATCTTCCCATTTGGATGCTTGACTTCTCCTGGGTGATGCACTTCCAGGCAACCTCCTTGGGAGAAGGAGGCGACCGCCAACTCGCTGCCTAATTGATTTAGGACCGGCGCCCAGGGAGACAGTCCAATTAAGTTTACAAGCTGGCAATTAGCAGGAAAGGCCTCTAAATCCCTGCACTGAGAGCCTGCTTGCCGTAGTAGCAACACAAATGCGCTAAAGACAGCAAGGGGAAAGCTGGGCCTTCTGGAAAGCTGTTGTGAGTAAGCCCCACAAGGGAGGACGGAAGAAAAGCAAGGTAGATGTGGGCAGAGTGCCTTCTGTTTGACAGGTTAACAGGTAATTTATTTATTTTTTCTTTTCTCATGGCCAACATGCACAAAACCTTCAAACAGCTACATTCATTAGTGGTCTGGGGTACTCCGCAACTATTAAACCTGTTATTGAATATAATGGAGCTGAACGACTCAAAATAAATGAAAACTTGTAAACAGTTTTTTATTAGTATTTTGGGTAGGTAGTAATCTGGAGCAGTTCTTTTAGAAATCTGTAAGCCAATCCAACATTTTGTGTTGCTAACATCCAATTATATTAATTTACCTGTTTGCGCTGGCATATTTAGTTAAGCTTTTAAAAATTCAGGCCTTCATATGTTTAGGTCTGCAGTCTGCACTACTTTTAAATAGGATTTTCCCCACAAAAGCATATATGTGTATCGATCATTAAAAAAATAAAAAATAAAGAAGGATTTCAAAGCACGTTGTCACCTAGTTTAGAAAAAAGTCTTCTTCGCCTCAATGTATGAAATGACCTCTAAATTCCTCTAAGTATCTACAAAGGGAATTCCGTTTTCTTGGACAGACGATGGGCAAAATGCTGAAATTTTCCAGGATGAGTATATGTGAGTGGCTCTTTGCCATGCTGAAAACACCGAATTGTCAGTCAGAAGATGTAAGTGTGACTGTTTTTAGCTCTCGTGCTGGGTTTGCACCACTGTAACTTGCTCGACTTGAATGGAATGGAGCCAGGCCTCAGTGCTGGGCAACTGGGGGACTTCTGCTCTCTGAAAGCCTTTCACACCTAAAGTATAAAGCGAGAAGTTCTATATAGATTCTAAAATGAGTATTATTACTATTTCTTTGATTTACAACTGCTGTCAAATTATCTGAGGGACCAGCTTTCTCTGAAAGCTGTGAACCTCTCCTTGCTGTGCTGAGTCTTGAAGGAAGGAAATACTGTAATTTCATGCACTGAAGTCAGGAAGAAGAGAGTACTGGGACAAATACACATTGTAATGCAAAGGTGAGCTGCATTATGGACAAAATACTAATATTATGCTATTATTACGTATAGCGTATTTTAGGAGTAGCTACAGAATGAATACAAATCCTGTAACTGAATACTCCAGATGCAAATAATTTTTTATATGAGAAATTACTGTTTATATTACAGTTGCAGAGAAATTTTCCAACTAACCACACTAGGCTGCTATTACATCAGACTCCAGCTGAAAGATACCAGATTTGTGTGGACCATAAGGAACTACTTGGTCCACATCTTCAAAGATCACCAGCATTGGGTGCTATCGGCCCAACTAACCACACTAGGCTGCTATTACGTCAGACTCCAGCTGAAAGATACAAATCTGTGTGGACCATAAGGAACTACCTGGTTCACATCTTCAAAGATCACCAACATAGGGTGCTATCGGTCCAGATAGCTACAATGAGGGTTCAAAAAACTATGAATGAGTTTTCAAACAAAGGAAATTGTGAGGTACACACGTTCCCTCAAGAGCATAAGATTCCGTCCATGTGCTCAGTGACTTACCAAGTTTAAAATGAAGTGCTCCCAAGGGTCCTTTGTCGAATCTAACCAACAGAAGATCATGGATATCGGGGCCACCAGTGCTGGGAGATGCGCCCTGAGGAGCAGGCCACTCGAGCTGGACGAGGCTGCTGGGCACGTCGAAGTGCTTACTGAACTGCAGAGTTGTCTCCGGTGAGAGGTCTTCTGCCAAAAGCTGCATTTTGATCGGGGACAGAGCTGTGTCAAAAAGCTGCAGCTCCCCTTGGGAGCTGCCGACGAGGAAAACTGCTCCGCCGGGGTGGTAGCTGATGAGAGCGGGCAGCAGTTGTGCCTGCACTAACAGCGTCACCTTGTTGTAGGCCTCATACAGAACCAGAGACGAGTCCTCACAGCCCAGGACCAGCTTGTCTTCTGCAACGTTCCTGCAGCAGCTGATGGCCTTTGCTTTTAGTGGTATTCTGGTGACTGCCACGCACTGAATTCTGTTCCTAACACACTTGTAGACACAGCTGTCAGCCATGGGCTCTTTGTCTGCAGAGACGGAGCGCTCCACGGTGTGAACCTGGTAGGGCTGCTGAGTGCTAAAGCGAGCATCGAGAGGATCCCATTCTGTGCGGACAAAACTCAAAACCTGAAAAAAAATCCAGAGTATTTTGGTACTCATTTGTAACAGTTCGTTCTTCTTTTGACAATTTAGAAAACTAACTGCTGCAAATGCATTTTCTCCCTAAGCTAAGTATCTACTTTAGAAATGGAGTTATAAAGTCTGTTATTTAGACTGTAAAAGGGCTACTCTCATTTTACTCAAAACCCCTGTAATACAGTTTGACAATATTTGTTTACTCGGAGTATATAAAAGGTTAGCAGAACAGAAGACAAGAAGAGATGGTCCCAATGAGAGGAGAACTGAGCTGCTCCCTGAAATGAATGAATAGCTGATTATTCACAGGGGTGGGTGGAGGAGAAATAAGAAATTTCTCAAAAAATATAATAGATGTTACACTAGCATCACATGTGAAGAATTTTTGATCGCTTGCTCTTGGCCATGGTAACAGAAAATATTAAACTGTAGTGGTAGAAACAGTGGCATGTTGAAACAATGTGTACCGTAGACTGCCAGGTGAGTAGGTGGTAGATGCTCCTTGGTGCCTAACAGCTCAGGATGCAAAAGGAATGAATTTGTGATAGCAGAAAGGGAGGACCAGTTAGGGGTACCTGAAGGTTGAATGAACTGGAATAACAAAAACACAGAATACAATACAGAGACAGCAACTGGCAAATGGCAACAATTTACAGTGTGGAAACACTGGAAGCATCATGAAATGATGCAGGCAACAGAAGAGTCCAATGAAGATTCATGTTGTGTGATACATGTGTTGGGGAGGACATACCACCCATTATCTCAGAAGCAACTGCTGCATTTATAAGCAAGTTATTTGGATGTTGATCAGATTAGAATGTTTTGTTCTAGTAGTTTGCTCATTCTACAAGTAAAAGAGATTCTCATTCAAAAGGGGGAAAAAGATCTACTGCAGTTTTGTGACTGCATAACATCTGCCTACTAATACAAATGTCTTAGCTAGTTTAAGCTGATTAGTTAGGGACAACCATTTAATAATCAAGAAACAAAGTATTAGATGCAAAAGCATCTAATACAGGAGGCAAAGCATCCATCTTGTGCAAATCAAGTAAGCCAATTCCATCCAAAAGAGAAATCGTGATCAGCTAAAATATATACCGGATCAGAAACAAAAGGTTTAATTAGCTACATAGGCTGGAAACTTCCTTCTCACCTGCCTCCACTTGGCTGGTTATTTACACTCACAACAAGTACAGTGGCTACAGAGCAGTGGTTTTCTCTTAAAACTGTTTGAAATGTCTAACTTATTGGGGTGTTAAATTGCATTGCAAGGAAACCTGTAAAAGAGGTTATTGTGGACAAAGGATTACTGTGACCACAGAGCTCTGTAACCCCAAATAAAGACAAGGTGAAGTGTTATTATTTGTTCTGCAATTTTCCCTAGAAGCACGTATAGAAGTATATATAGCTGCCTTTCAAATATGTGAAACAGAAATCCTGCCCAAGCAAGTCTTCAAAGCTTCCATAACTTCTGTGAAATGAGCCTTGAGGCCCTCTGGGACTCAGATTTCTGTCTTCCTGTGGCAGGTTTCAATGAACCACAATATTCCTCTACATATCTGACACAAAAACAGAGCTCCTCTCTGGACATCTCTTCACAAGCTGCGAGAAAGTCATGACGAGCCACACAACTATCAAGCCCAGTAGGGCTAACAGACTGTGACTGGCCCTGAAGGTTGAGGCAGTGGAGAAGGGAAAAAACACAGGAAACATATTGGAGCAATTGCTGTGGGCACTGGTAATAGTCACAAAAAAAACCATATTGTCATCTGATCGTTAGAGAGTCAACACCAAACTGAATACGATTAATAGTTTTGTTCTGCCTTGTAAGAGCAAGAGTGGGACAAGACTGCACTGACTACACTGAAATTAGAAGCAAGTAAAACCTAGTCTTTCGGAAGGTCTAATTTAATCAGCCTTGAGACGAGAAACTTCCCGGGTTTCACACAGTTTCGTGAGCAGATCCTCGAAATGAAGGCCAGGGTAGAGCTGGCTGGAGCAGGTAACGCAATTCTAGACCAAGCAGAAGTTCCTGGGAGAGGAAGACTCTATACGCTGTCTTTCAAAAGATAAGTTCTGACATAAAGTTTAATTGAATTAGTCTTAAAGGAAAGTTTTCTAGAGAATTCTGTTGATAACACACAGAATACTGGCTGAGAACAAGACATTTCTCCACAGATGGGAACAGATACGCTACTCCTCATGCATCAGTGGCCTCATTTGCCTCTTAGAGGAAAAGAATACCAAGCCTTGAGATCTCTTTGTTCTGGCTTCCAGCTTTGCTGAATACAACTGGTATTTGGCACTCTAAGGGTGAGAAAAAAAAAAAAAAAGGATATTCTGTTTCATCTGAGGAGGGTGATTTGAATTTCTCTGTCAGGAAAGGCTTTTATTAACAACTCTTCATGCCACTACCTGGAAAACTAAAGCAGAGAGACATCAACTACAGAAGCATGTTGGTAAGGCTAAGAAGATGCTTTGGAGTGTAGTACTGACCTCCTTGGAACCCTAAAGGAGAGCACTGTAATTGCAATATATCTTCCAACAAACAAAACCCAACCTCTGCTTGGGAAACGGGCAGCAAAAGCTGACGAAATTCCCTCCAAAGTGGGCAGGACGGCTGTAGGATTCAGGCAGGAGGCAGCACTGGAGCTATGAAGACAATCATAACATCACAGGGCAAAGGGCACAGTCCCAGTCAAGGCTAAGAGATTTCCAAAAATCTAGAAACAAGCAGAATGGCCTTTTACTTCAGAAAACTTCTGGAGATAATTTGTATGAAGGCAAACCAACTATTTATCGACTGCCTCCCTCCACCTCCTTTTTAGGTCTGTGACATGTACACTACAAAAATACCCTAAATATCCTAAAATATCCCAAAGACTGTCCATATAATGTATGCATTAGGTGCATTAAAGCTGTAGTGATGCAGCACTAGGGCATTTAGATCCTTTTCCCCCTTGCAGGAGTGACCTATGCCCTGTACTAGCTAATACTGGCAGAATGCATGAGGGATCCTCTACGTGGCAACCTTAAATCCCACCTCTGCAATCACAGGAATCCGTCAGTCTTTGTGCACAGCAGGGCTGAAATCTGCTGGTTACAATGCAGATTTTTTTCCTTCAGTTTGTTGTGTGAAAGAAATAATAGAACTAACTTGTATAAGCAGCATCACTGTTGCCAGTGCAAACATTTGAACACTTAAAGTTGAAGTATTCTGCACTGAGCGCTGGGAAAGGATAAAGCCCACATATCGAACCATGTATGAGTTTTAAATAGTAGTTCTTAAGCAGAAAATTGGCTTACCAAGCAGATAAAAAAGAAAACAAAGGAAACAGAGAAACAAGCTTGCTGTGACTGAATTGACTGTCTTTCAGATGAGAAAAATGTTTGATTTATTTTATGGATGTTAGGAAACTGCTTGTTTAATTTCACACAGTGAGGCTCCAAATAACAACAAACACTTTAATTAGAAATGTTGAGTGGAAAGCGTAGTGCACACTGGAGTGAAATCTCTTTAAACACAGCACTGTGAAGGAGGAAGGAAAAATCCCCTGTTTTTAAACCCTTCTAAAATAAAAACTTGAGGTGATAATCCAGGTTCCTTTTTTGATGTATTGTATTTAGAGTCCCCCATGCAATTTTATTATTTAAGACTGGTCTTAAATTTTCTTTATTTCAGTAAATTTCTGTATTTCAGTAAATATTTTCAGTATTTATTTTCTTTCAAAATTTACCACCTCGGAATTTATCCCGAACTCTCAAGGCCGCGTGGGCTCCGCTTTCCGTCCACGGGGACACTCCGGCTCTCAGGTCCCATTCGGTGCCTCCCTCCTGCAACCCCAGGAGCTGCACAAAAACTCACTCATCGAAGGGCCACTGGGTTCGCTTGGAGGCACCACGTGGGAGCAGTAATTATTAAACACCAGCTCTTGGGAGAAAGGAAAAGAATATTCCCTCCCAAGCAAATTATTTTTTCCATAGGAATGAAGTGTAATTTCAATGATTCATATTAACACTAACTGCTGCAAAGTAAACAAGGTGAAACAAATGCAAAGCATCCCGGTAACTCAGCACTGGCATCATCATCTTCTTAATAAATCATCTAGCAGAGTGAAGTTGATGTTCATTTTACCATGACTTTTCCTCAAAACATTTACTACCGGGCTGATTTCACATCAGAGCCTATTTATTCAGAGCAAAGACTTTGAAATGATTTCCGAAAGATTCCTCTTCTGTTTCCAAAATCAAAACACCAGCATTATCTCCACAGGGAAACAAGGCAAACAACATCCTTGATCATTTGTACTTTAACAAAGAAGAAACTAAAAAAAAGATAAATAAATACTTTGGAGAATGGATGAGTTTACTGCAGGAAATAAAAGCATACAAGAAAGCTGACAAGGATTCAGCAAACCCTGCAGCAGCAGCAGGCATGCAGGCACACAGCACACATTTGCACAGTGATGTTGTGTAGAAAAGCTCTTTTATTTCTTCTTCAGGGGAGGATTCCCCACCACAACCCATACTCTTTAACTTGGTAAACACTGATCTCAGAAAAATAAGACAAAACAAACAATACTAGTCAAAATTCTAAAACTAATTGATTTTAATTTGGGGGTTTACCTGCAGCTGAAGCCTCTGTGATACGTTTTACCATGCAACTAAACAGAGCGGGCAATGACACAGTAAAACTGAAAAAGACTTTCCTCTCTGAAATAAGCACAGAAGTACTGCTTAGTCATTTAAATTCAAAGATTTTCTTCAGAGAATATGCTAAGAAAAAGTCATTTCTGTTTTTAAAGAAATGATGCCTACCTTTAGCCCTAATGGTAGTAAATGCAAAAGCATAAAGCTACATAGCACAATTCAAATTGCTTTTAGAGTGTATTTAGAATATTAAATGCATTTCTTCCGTTAAGCTGAAGCGCCATTTAGATAAGCAACACCCCAAACACTCCGTGTGCTGCAGGAATCCCAATTCATGACGTGTAGCCACAGGATACCATCGTGATGAGGGTTGGGTTGGCTTGTCCCAAGGCAACGCTTTGGGCAACGCTCAAAGAGTTCTTCCAGGGAGGAAGCAGCACCACGTAAGGGCACCATTTGTACCTGCTGTGCCACAACAACGTGTCAGGAGCTGGCACATCCAGCTGTGGTTTCTGCAGGTCAGCCCAAATGTGCTGAAAACGGCTGTGGGTAGCGCCCCTTCACTTCCTCACGCTTGGAATACTGTTTCCTAAGCTCAGCCCATCAAATGCTCTTTACAGGCTTGACATACAGCACTCCCAGCTTTCCATCTTGATTCTGGATAATAATTTTCTCTAACCCAGCTAATACTATTATTTTTGAACAAAATGTTGGCAAATGACAAGACAGGACACCCTAGAACATGGCATTATTTTATAACACTTCTCTTAGATACACTCTCCAAAGTGAATCTCTCCTTGACTCTTCTACTATTGGCAGTAATTATTTCACGAGAGCAAACACTTAGCACGTTACTGGTCAAACAAGTTAAATACAGGTTTACTTCCATGCATAAATTTGGGATGTCAGGTTGTTATTCCAGGTACATCTCTGAAGAGCACTACACAGTGGCAAAAAAAGAAAAGGCAGAGATGCAAATAGGCATATTTATAGAAAATCTATTTTTTGTGGCATCTGACCTAGAAAGTAACTGTTTAGAAGCTGTCTAGAAATACCACTTATATTTTTGCTCATGTTCCAGCTGCGGCACGACCCTCAAAAGTTGCAGTGTGTGCTCCCAGATGCTGGAGAGAAGAGGTGCATTAGCTGCATATTGTGTATTGCCACTCTTGGGTCATGGCCATGCTCCTCCCTTGCAGGGGTGCACAACAACCCAAACTAGAGAAATAACAGCAAAACAAACCAACCAACAGCGCTGCAGACTGTACCTGTCCTGGGCACACAAGGGAAGTACATGGGCTTGTCTTGAACTTCATGCAACAGCCCACGGGTAACTTAGAACTTCCTTACTAGCTTACAACCAAAGATTGCTGTCTAAACATCACTGGGCTCTTCAGAGCACTGGAGCAATGCTTGGGGTTGCACTGACAAATGCAGGAAAACAAATTTCTTGGGAAGAGCTTCCAATCGAACACACAAAGGAGCACAAGAAGGAAAGCAACGGCACAGTTAAATTTTGCAGTTCTGCTTTTATAAATAATTTCCTAATATTTATACTACAATAAGGGATAAATTAAAAGGATTCAGTACATGCCTAAAGGTGCAGTGAATATTTATTATCATTATTGAGTTAAGAACCAGAGACGTGCTTGGGATAACCCCAGCCCTGAGAAATTTAGTCTAAACTAGAAAAAGATAAAACAAAGTGCATTGAAAGGTGCAGGGAAAGGCTGTAATTTAGGAATCTCCCTATAATATATAAAATGAAATGGAGAAATCTTAAACTGACAAGGTAGTTTCTGTGAATTTCCTATAATACAACTTGAAAACACATCTCGGAAAAGAGATGCTGGAAGTTGGTATTAGGGAATTGTTAGGGAGCATCACAGAAGAATAGATGTACAAGAAGGAACAAAAGTCATGGGAATGTCACTGTGAAACCAAGTGGAAAGTCCTGGTATGATCTAAGATGCTGCTAGGATGAAATTTCGTAACAGGAAAATGGCATATGAGACCTGGTGGCAAAAACCTAGAAAAGAATAGAACAGAACACGTGATGCAGTTACCGAGGCAGAAAGAGCCACATTTACACCCGATGGGGCAAAACTGCAGGAGGAATCGAGACCTGCAGGTGAACATCAGGCAAAGGAGGGAGAGGAGGCAAAGGCGACCACGAGTGGAGAGAGGTCACCTGAAAAGTAAGGGAGAGAGAAGTGGAGGTGATTTGCACTTCAAGTCTATAGGGATTAATGACCGAAATGGGAAATCGACTACCTTTTCTCTTTTGCTTTCAATATATAGAAAATCTCAAGAGAAAAAATTCCTCAGTTAAATTAACATAATAATTCCGAGACATTAAAACATTTTTATCTTCCCAAATTAAAGAGAACAGAATGTTGTTTGTAAGAGGAGCTTTGAGTTTTTCCCTATAGGAAAATAGCTTGTAACTCAAGCTCAAGTTTGAACTCAAGTTCATGCACTTCCCTCACAGCCTTTTTAGTCTGTATTAGACGTGGCTCAAGCTAAACTGAAAATAAAACTCAGGAGCATCTATATGAGATGTTAGTCCAGAACAGCTTATATACTTTAAATTCAGTTCAGAATATGCTCTGATAGTTTCATTTAAAAATTTTCACCTAAGAAACTGGATTCAAATATTCTTAAATAAATGAAATGAAAATGAACTAGCCAAAGGGAAATGATCTGCCTAAAAAAGTAAGTTAAGCAAGTGTCAGGGAAAGGGTCAGCTTGTAGTCATCTTCTAGTTTGCAGCTTATGTTCCCACATGTAGAAGGGGAATTTGGGATTTCAAGACAAAAAACAGTTACTGACTTGACCAACATTCCTCACAACCATTTAAGCAGAATTTGGGTAGAGTCAACACTTTATAACTGTAACAAAACTGTACAAATACTTAAGATAGATTGTAAAATGTGTATCGGATAACATTGCAGATAATGTAAAATAACTGCACTGCAGAAGAACACAACTGCTAGAGATTCTAACCTAAGTTTTCTAGCAGTACTTGAACACTATTTTTTTCAATTGATATAACAAAGTTGTCTCAATGCTGTTAAAGACCTAATTTTCTTGCTACATTTCTCAGATTGCCAATTTCAATGTGAAATATAGACACACCAAATAAGTTTTTTTTTAATGAAATAATCAACTTCTGTCTTTAAAATTAGGATGACTCATCCTTTCTTCTGTTTTTAATGTAGTTACTGTTTTTATCTACCTGAATATGCATTTAAGTTGAATCTTTCTTTCTTCAGCAATTCTGAAAAATCATGTAACAAGAGAGTTCAGAACTTTACCTCCAGTTTGCCATGTGCACAGTGTAACAGCAATAAGTTGGCTCTGTCCCTCTCACAGGAAATAGGAGACCAAGGCCATGCTCCATTACTAGCTGCTGACCACCAGCAAATAATCATATCTTGAGTACAGTTTATTGCCAGGTGACGTTTCATCCTTCTACCTTCTGGTCCAGGGATATCAGTGTAAGAAATCTGATGGAGGAAAAAAAATGCAGTAAATATTTAAGGTGATAAAATATAATGGTGGGTGCAATTGGGAGCATTTGCTTTGGATGTGTGAAAGAGACTGTATATATACACAGAGGGCTGTGCACATATATCTTCATATGGGCTGTCTGTAAATGTAAAAAATATCTCCTCAGACAGAGACATGCTCACACTTTTATCTGCGGGGAGGGGATTGGGAAGGAATGTGAGTTAAGAAGGAATTTACTGCAATGACTCCAATCAATACCAAAATGTACAGCCATGGTTGCTTGACAGCATCGACCTACACATAGGATTTAAGCCTAGCCATATTAAATGACAAGTTCTGTGAAGCTGACCAGGGAGCTCAGGCTAGTATTTAAGGCATAGTCAAATATTAAATATATTCTACAGTGTTTGAATGAACATATATTTTTCTTTTCACTGCCTAAATTAAATAATCCAGGCACAAACAGCCACTTTGCAAGAGAATATATACTTTTCTGCATAATGTGGATGAGCTACAGCATCATGCGTAAACTTTATGCAGCTCTTGAGAATTGTGCCTCTTTCTCAGGAAGGATTTGTGGAATTTATTATTCAAACTCTGTTATTTTGGAGCATGGTTATTTGAAAACATGAGCAGTGCACCATCTGGATGACACATGCCAAGGAAATATAGATTGCACCGCATTTCTGCTTAAGGAATTAATGGAAGGTTGATAGCTAGGGGAAAAAAAAACTATCTTGCCATTGCTGGTCAGCAATAATCGAACCACTTTCTGGGGATTAAGCGCATGGCTAAGCCTACTGGACCAGACACTAGCAAAGGGCAGGGGGTCTTCTTATCAGAGAAATGCTTCTGGAGCCAGTCTCACTACATGACAGATTGCTTTCATATTCCTGTCTGCAAGGCAACAAAGGCTGGCAGTAATGCGATAATGCCAGAGTGCAATGGGTGTTAAGAACCCGTTGCATTTATGTATTGTATTTAGTAAATAATCAGGCTCATCCAAATTGTGATCTCACCACTCAACCAAGGCCATTAAAATCAAGGTTAATGCTTTAATAATCCTCTGCTGTTTTTTTATGTGGTCAAAAGAACCCTTTTCTATTTGCATGGTCATAATATTATTGACCTCTTCATCCCCTGAATACACATCAAAAGTAACTGAAATCAAAGTAATTACCAATGTTACTCTCTCGCGGTAAACATTTAACTCCTTCTGCTGTCTCCTCCTTCAGTAAATTGAAATGGATTAAAAAACATATATGGGAAAAACTTGCAAAAGGTCAGTATTTCCAGAGCATCCTGTGTTTTATTTGTCAAAATTATACTTAAAAGTAGAAGGATAAAACCCAATGCAGGGTTTAACAGGTAACTGTGCTCGAATTAAAAGTGCATGTAAATAGTTGGTTTGGTGGCAACACACTTAGGAAACCACAAATACTGTCACTGTGAGCGCTGTGCTGCGGGGTTAACTGCTCACACCAATTTAACACCTCACAACAGCCACGATTCCTTTGCAAACCTTGATGTCCTGCATTAGACATGACACTGCCAAGCACAGACTGGTATCGCTGAGAAAAGGAAATGACCATTTCTGTTCTGTGGATCTCCAAGACTGCAGTGATTCATAAGGGCAGGCTGACTGTGTTCAGAGTGCGTATGAAATCCAAGGTGCTATAGCTTAGGAAGAAAGAGGCTTGAGAAAGCAATTGTCCATTTAGTTATGTATTGTGTAAATATTAACTCCAGGCTAGATATCAAACATTTGCACCACCTAATTCATCATAAAATTAGAATACATGGCAAATGTGAAAGGAAAAAGCAAGGATTCCTCATTTTTTTAAGTATACCATAAAATAAGTAAACAAACCAACCTTTTACCTCTAAGTACTGAAACTAACTGTGAGGAGAAAAGAGTGGTAGACCTGTTCTATTACCTGCTCTCTGGCAGTCCAGTACAGCCTTGAGCTCCTCACCAATGCTACCCACCTTTACACTGAGCAATGCACAACGTGAAGCTGCTTTTCTCTACATACCAAAATACAATTTAATTCTCTACATACCAAAATACGATAGAAATTCAATTATATCATTACACATGATCACAAGCAAGCATTTTGCTCATTTTAGAAACATGCATTGAAACGCAGATGCAGAGGACACTTCCCAAGGCTACACTGCAATGTGAGGGCAATGACGAAGGCTACATACTCAAATTCCATGCATCACAGATCCATATTTTAGTCCAGAGGTAGCTCTGTGCCATGGCAAACTTCCCTTAATGCATGTTCTCTCTTGCAGAATGAAATCAACATTAAGAAAGAACTTTCTTTAAAAAAATAAAATGTTACAACTTTGCTCATTTCCAGGTGAGGAACATCTTTGATTCTTTTATTGCCATGATAGCAACACTGTTGACCGTCTCTGATATTTTAGTGTTTGCAGTGTTTGACAAGGAGCAGCCCTGAATAGCTCTACTTCAAAACAGGCAGCTGACACAATATTATTGCAGTAGTAAATAATACTTTCCGCTGGCTCACACTGGTGCAGTTCTGAAGATAATAAGAATTATTTTTAGCTGCCTAACTAGCAAGCCTCACAGAAAAGAACATTCAATTAAAAAATGCAAATGCCTTTTTTTTTTGGCTGGCAAAAACATAATCCATAGTGATTCCCACTGATTTCAAGAGAAAGGAAAGTTAACATTGCACATGGATGTGTTCTGGAAGCGCGGCAGTGTCAGCAAAGAACTGAACATAACAACCCTTTTCAGGAATGCAGGAGTTATTTCTGGTTTCCTAGGGCAGAGAGAGGTTTCTACGGATTAGAATTTCCTTCTTTCCTTGAAAAAAATGCCACAACCTCTAGGTCCAAAATGTGCTCAGCAATACTCCGAATGAAAATGTATTTTCTAAACATAAATGAAGGGGCTATGGCCCTTATAATTAAATGATGAAGGCAGGCTTCGGCTCACCACAATTTCTTAATTGAAGTTCAGAGCTAATAAAAAAACAAAAACAAACACCAAACCCACTAACCTGCTTCTGAAGCACAACCCTAGCAAACACCTTAGGCCAGGCACACGTGAACATCATTTTAAAGTAAACTATGTATCAGCTCGGTTCCTGGTGAACAGTGAACTGTCTCAAATCCACGTCAGAGAGGTTGGATCAATCTCGCAAACACAAGTCATTGCTGAAAAGAGGCCCTGAACTGAAACAGCCTGGAAAATGTATTAGATATTCATCCTAGCAGAAAGTATTTCTACCAAGCAAGTTCAAATGTAATATGGCAAAACTTAAATTAAACACATCCTTAAAGGGCTTGCCTGGAAAAATGCAAACTCCCTTATGTGAGGAAGCAAATTACCGAGGGGTTGTGAGGGAGAAAATATGAAATAACTGGATAAATGTTAACTCTTGCTTGCTGTATCCTTCTCCCTGCCTTGGGTACAGGCTGGTCTCTTCATTCCTGCAGCAAATTGCATGTGGGCCCTCTCCTTCTCTATCTGCTCAAAGTCAGTCGCCACTGGCTCGTTATTTTTTCCTGCCACAGTGCCAAGCATTCCCAGATAAGGTCACAGTGGTACCGTCCTGGACCCAAAGCGTTCACCATCCACATAGATTATGTCTACACAGCCCAGCCCGGCCAAGACAGAGTGTAACTGAGCTGGAGTTGGGTTTTGCACGCAACGAAACCATGTTGAAGCTACCTCAGCTATCTCTAGACAACAGTCACTGCTGTGGCTGCGGCATAGACACAACCACACTTAAAGGCTGCAGTTAAACACAAGTATTCTGATCTTCACTAAATAAATGAGGAATTGAGGTACAGAGGTGCCCACTCACCTGCCCCAGGTCACAAACACAGCTGGTCAGTGGTGAGAAACTTGCTTCTCTATCTCGTGTCCTAGCTCTGCGCCTTAGTTACAAAAGCAGCTCTCCCAACAGTGATCACTGTAACTACAGGGAAAACTAAGATATCTGCAAAGAATTACAGCAGTCTTGGAGCCCAGAGAGGTGACTGAATTATCACAGCTTCATGAGTTGGGGTGTATCAGGTGAGCCACAGTAATGGTCTGTGCGTGCACCGTCAGCCCACAGCAAACAAAAGGTAACGCACATTAGCTCAAACCTTTTACACTGAGGTTTACCACTACAGACTTTACTTCACGTCAGTATTTATAGTCAGCGTTAACAGGTATACCTTAAAATCCAAGGAAGAGAGTTTTTCCAGTCTTTTGTTCACATCAGGAGACCCCATCTTCTTTGTAAATTGAATAAAGCAGAGCTGGTTATGGTCCCCAAATGACAAGACGATGAAACTATCCGTAATAACAGCTGGAAAAAAATAAATAAAAATAAAAATTGTCACCATTATAATAACTGTTTCTACTAAGCAAGCAAATTACTGAGTCCTCCACTGAGACACCGCAAAAATAATTTTTTCTTAAATATTACACTAGGGATCTGCAGTCTCTTAAAAGGCATCAGTGTTTCATTCTGCCAGGATTTTCTTGGAAATGAGAAATAAAGCTTAAGGACTACTCAGATTACAGAAAACTCAATAAATTAAGTCAGACCAAGTTACTGCTACATTTAAATATACGTTTTGTTCTTCCCTTACATTTCCATTTTCTTCTTCTTTTTTTTTTTTTCTTTCTGCCTACAGTAACATCCTCCAATATTTTGCAATTGCACCTAATGCAGCATTGCCTGTGATGAGGCTGATAAATGCAAATTAACACTTGAGGTATATTTGGCATTTTGACATTGGGATCAAGCAGTGCAGCAGCAGGAAGGTTCCAGATGCTACTGCAGACACTGCACAGGGTTGTGCTTTAGATGAGTTATTAACTCGTTGAAAACTTCAGATGTGGTACCCAAACAAAACAGATAACCAAGAAGAAAGAGACCCCCTTGAAGTGTGGAAAAGTGCTGTGGAAATTGTTATCATAAAGAGAGTGCTAGACTGAAACAGTTCAACACAAAACAGAACAACTAATTTGACAATGAAAATGAATTAATCCATACTATCTGGGATTATTTCCCCCAGGCACTACCTGCTGGTCAAGCAATGCATCCCTATAAGCAGATTTCTGAGAAGGAAATAAGTCACCACGGTGCCTAGTTTCACGTCGCTGAAGAGCAGCTGGTGAGAATGAGGTTTAAGGCAACGTGAACAAGCTGCTTTCAGGAGGTAACTCGGGAAGCTCTGCTAAAAGCAGCAGCTCCAGGTCATTCGGGGCCTGATCTGAAAACAAACAAGGTGGCCTGGGGTGTCGGGCTAGGGGAGAAAACAGGAGTCAAGAGGCAAAGTGCATTCTGCACTTGTTGTGTAATTAGTTTTTTGAATAGTAAGGATTCTGTTAGCATAGGAGTGTTATTTTTCAAGGCTTAATTACTATGCACAAATAGGGAAAAATCAGACACAGTATTGCATCTTTTTTAAATAGCAAGGCCAGTATTCAACAGATGCCTCGTGAATGGAAGAAAGCATGTTACTAAAGATCAAAACTAAATTTCGCATATTTCACATTGAAAAGCTGTAACTTGGATCTACATTTTGGAGAAATTTAGAATACAATTCACAATGAAAATTCCACATTCTTGATCACGCAGATGGCAGGATATTAACATCTGGATGAGCTCATCAGTGGAGCTTTGTAGAGAGACGATGTAAAAACTAAGTTGATATTATAAAACTGCTGAGAATGGGCACATTTTATGAATTTGTTTCTGCAATATGCAAAAACTTGATTTTTAGCAGTCATTGGTCAATCACTGGTCAATAGTGAGATGCTGGAAATCCAGAAAGTAAACACCTCCATACAGATAACATTATCCAACATTTTTAATAGGTAAATATTTTTATAATAGATGAAACTTATCTATGACAAATATCCCTTGTAATTAATCAGTGTTCTAATTAATCAATGTTTGTTTCTGTCCCATTTTCCCTTTCAGGATACCAACACGACAAGTTCAAGTGGCATGAATGTACAAGAAACCGAATTTTAGAAATCCATTCATTCTTTAACAAGCCTGAAAACTTTGATGTCAAATATTATTCTTAAAGTGTTCTTAGTCCTAAGGGTCCTAACTATGGCATTACATGCAATTACTTGTTGTGTTTGCAAGTCCCCAGTGGCAATAATTAGTCTACCTGTTGACACACTGCTTCTCTATTGTTAATGCAGGCAATTGATTTGCACGTGGGTGTAATTACCGTCGCTGATGGTGTCGGAGATGAGCTTCCCCACCAGGGTCCTGTCAATCACCACCTTCTCCAGCTGTGGCCCAGAAAGGCTTAGGGACACCAGGACACCTGAATGAAAGAGGAGCTAAATCCAGAGAGCGAGAAAACAAGACATGGAGAATCAATAATAAAGTGAAACATTCCAAGGTACAGATTTATTGCTGTCTGTTATGTAGTCAGCTAATTTTCAGACTTACAAAGGAGACTTTTATCTTAGACGTGAAGATGTCTTGTAAGGACTTTCAAAGCTTTTTCAGTGAAAAAACATTGAATTATGTGGGTACGAGAATTAAAATGTACTGAATTAGAATGGTAAAAACTGTCTGAAAGCCTGATCTGAATGGACATCAGAATCCCTCTTCATCGTCAAAACACTGATTGTTGCTTTTTTCACTACAACCTCTTGTGTCTAAGAACAAATCAACCAACCCAATGCTCAGCAAAGGCAGAACTCTGATGTTTAAGTACTTCTGTACCTGAATATTGGGCCAAAATTCAAATACTGCTACTAACATGGTTTTTGTCTGCTGACCTTGAGAGGTTTTCAGTGAAACTGAAATTGGTCTACAGACCCTTAGATCAACATAGTTCTTGGTCTATTTTTACTGTGCCTGTCATTCACAGACCTGATTTTTTTATATTACATAATTGTGGTTTATATTCTAACTAGAAGTAGATTTTAAAAAAACCCAAATAACTGTATTTTTCTTTTAAAAATGGATATATGATAAATCGTTGCTGTTATAGTAGAAGCTAGCATAAAAATTCCTGTCTATTTTGTGTTACAGCTCTGTGTTACAGAGACAAACTTGGCTGTAATGTACTTTATAGCACAATACACTTGTACGTAGCACACCAGGCAAACTTTCTTGCAATGAAATCTACTGGATTATATAATAATCTCCAGGAAAAGTGTCAGGAACCCAATTCTAGGAGCCTTTTACAATGGGTAGCACAAGGATAAGAAAATATCATGTTGGGAGCAATCCTGAGTTGGCAGTAAGAGGCATTAAGACGTTCCCATGTCTTTTCCCCGTCTTTTCTACACATCAGAAGCAATAATTTCATTTCTACGACTCTCCTTCAGCTCTATGGCTGCATTACAATGATTGTATTTGTTTTACATGTTTCTTTTTCGAAGTCAAGAGGACATAAAATGGCATATGACTGTGCTGAAATAAATAATACAAGTGCTGGGGCCAGGAGTGTAGTGATCTAATTGATTTTGGTTTTTGTTCTCAGCTCTGTTCCCAGTTATTTAGCTATACAGAATGTCAGTTGTACATACTATGCTGTATTACTACAGTTCTATGCTCTCTGCAGCAAAAAACTCAACAGGAATATTTAAATAATGAACCTTTTTGCCTGACCAATATCTTTAACCAACCTTTTTCCAATATATTTTCTTGCCAATTCACAGCAGACAGTTTGAAAACAAATCCTAACGACATTTGAAAAAGAAACCCAAACTACCTGCAATGCAAAATAGATTTGCTATAAACAGATGGTCTTTTCCCATGCTGTCAAACTCGAATCTTGCATTAGTTTGAAAATATATATATTCAATATTTCACTATTCCCTGTCATAACAGATGTCCTTTAAGGTTTTGTCCTCGTAAAATTGTTAGACACAGTTACACTCATACAGCTTTTACTACAATCTTTCAAAACTTCAATCTATCCTTATGTTGGAGCTAGATTAGATAAAATCACAATTTATCCCCAACTTCATAACAGGAGCCCAGCAAGGTTTGATTACGGTTAGCTGTAATTGCCCAGAGAACCCAGCTGAAAAAGTGAGGGCTGAAACCTAGCCCTACTTTGCAAGAACGCACCTACCAAGCAAAAAATTACATAAATACTCTAGAAAAACAGCTCTAAATTACTCAGTGAGTATCAGTCTGCCACTAAAGAGTAAAACTCTCCAAATCTGCCAGTGCTATGGACCACTCGGAGAGCTGGTGCAGCCCATAAATGAATCTGCACCTTGTGTCTTCCCCAAGACCTTTGCTTGGGAGCAGCCGGCTCTTCCCCCAGAAAATGCTACTCTAACAGAAGGAATTTTTAAGAGAGAAGGGCATCCTGGAGGTAAAAGAGCATTCCTGGACTTCTGAACCAGAAGCCTGTTTGCAGCATCTTAGTTTAGTTGACAAGGTAGGGAACTAATCATTCACCTAACGCTCCCTATTTTGGATATTAAAGAGAGTCTCTCTCAGTATGGCATGATACAATGACACAGTATGAGTAAAATTTGCATGGCCTTTATTGTTTCTTACAATAATCTCTACTGCTTTTATTTTTAATTTTTCAATAAAGTTTGAGATATTTGAATAAAGCTTAATCTTTAACAGCTTTTTGCTCTAATGCACTCATTGCAGAGGTTAAGTATATCTGTGTTCCACAGGTTTAAGTCTTTGACTCTAGGAAGTATCTGAATTAAACTGAGACCTCACATACTATATGGTTATATAGGGACAATATTTCTTCCACTCCCTTATAAAAATCCTTTGGCTTAGGGGAGATCTCTTAAAACATCCTACAGGGAAAGGTATCCTAGATGGAAAGAATGTGTTGGAAGAAAGAAAGATAATTCACTGGAGTTCAAGATTGAGTCCATTAGAAGTATAGATGGTAGCAGGGAGGAATAAACTATGTTATTATATATATGTGAAGGAAATTATTGGGTGCAAAACCTTGTGTACTCTCTTTTCACGTTTCTCAAATGAAGCCAAAACAACTGCAACTGGATTTCTCTAACAAATGAATGTGATGTTACAGAAGAACACCTTAATTTCAGTTATAGGAAAAATAGCACTGAGAAAATCAAATTAAAAGAAAAAAAACACATTATGTAGAAGGCCTTTGTTTAAAACAATGCAACGAAGACAAACAAAAGCATATTTTCAAAAATATTTCTTAATGTTCACCATGAAACACAAGCAGGTATTTAAATGAAGGAAAAACACATTATCTTTCCTCAAAAATGATCTATAAAATGGAAAATATTTATCTGCTTAAGCTGAAACATCACTGTTTCAATTCTCTACTCACTGCACAGTCTATGCAAAGACTCTTAGAGGATAATAAGATGTCTTGTACGTAAACTCTCATAGTTAAGATTGTATTTTGGTGGACAAGAGCAGGCCAGTGATAAGCAGGAATAAACATGGCCCAGGCTGGGAAGGCTGCAAACTTGGCTTGAACACAGACACACAACTGCTGCTCCAGGGACTTGTCCATCATTACTGAGGGAAAAAAGCAAATATATGAAGCACTATTTACCCAAGACACAAAGCCATCCCATCTAACAGAACCGATATCAAACTGAGGAAAGAAACTCATGCGAATGACATACATCAGGTGTCCCTCAAACCAAGCACTGCCATGTGAGAAATGGAAATCTGGAGAAATAGCTCGACACCTCCAAGTGTTCCTAAGCAAAACGTGAAGGTATTGGAAGCATGGACTTGTTTTCTGTGCTTGAACAGAGTCTGAGCAAAACGTTTGGGCTTCTGGTGACTTGATGTGCTGGGAAGGGAGGATCTTTTAATCTCTGTGTTGTTGGGGAGCTGAATGTGAAGGCTGTAGGGGGGGGACATACTTCGTACACTGAAATGGTTCTCTGGAAGGCAAGAAGGGCAGCAGATGGAGCAGAGCACAGACGTAGCACTCACATACACACTTAAAACTTATGCACCTCCGTAGAACTTAAACATGTCCTTAAGTGGATTTCTTTATCCTCGGAAGCCTTGGCCCTTGACTCCTCATTCATGCTGCTTAGCTGCTTATCAGCCCTTCTACCTAAAAAGATACCTACAGAGCAAAGCCAGGATTTGCCTCTATCTGATTAAAATTGGAAGAGAAGGAAAATATGCCTGCAAAAAATATTGCTGCAAACTGTTTTCCCTCACAGAGCCCAACCTACAAAGGAATATGCAAAAGTAGAAGAGAGTTGCAAAGCATTTCTTGTTCAAGCAGGTTCCCAGGGTTTTTCCCCACCTCTTCATTCCAGATTGCTTTCTTAGCCACCCTACCATAATTATTCTGTTGCATGCCTCATTACAGATGAAGTTATTGTTGTTACATGTTACTGTTACACAATAATCAATGCATTTGTACTTCTGGCTCCAAATCTTGAAAACCACAAAACACATTAATGGCCGTGATCAAAAGCAACCAAAAGAATTTAATATGAGGGCAGTGTTCCTCTCAGGAACCAGTGATGGCTACAAACTTCTCATGTGTTCGAGCTGTGATGTCTTGATTTTGGTATCAGATGTGCCCGTGTATGTCACCACGTATCTTGCTAAATCACTTTGCTTATGGGCATGGTAGCAAATATAACAAGCCATGTCAGCATATACTGCTGTGTATCTCAATTCAGAATCCAGTCCTAAGTATGTCAAGGACGGCAACAAAAGCCCATTCACATACATATGTAAATTGCAACACAAATCAAATTAAATCAGAGTAATTAAGCAAAGAATATATAAATCTTCTTCACTAGCAGGTAACAGATATGATTCATGTCTACTGTTTGGCTTTTATAGAATAAAGTAATTCAGTGCTGGCATGTGTTTAGTGTCTAAATACATCATAATGCAAATGTAAAAGTTAAAAAAAAAAGCTGGAAATCAAACGTTTCAGCTATATTGCATTATTTTTACTGCTTCATATTGTAAAACCAAGCCTGAAACCACCACTTCATAAGATTGATTTCATGATTTTGTGGCAAAACTTAAAAGCATTCCAAAGAATTAGAGGAGGAGACCAGAGAAGAGGAAGTCAGAGCTTCTTCCTAGTAAACTAAACAATATTGGTGAAATTAATTCCTCCAATTATTTCTTCTGGGCTGAAGAGAAAGGGAAAGCCAATTTAATTAGAAATAACACAGTGGCATCTTACTGTAAAGACTTCTTCTCTGGTTTTTTTTTTTCTGTCAGATTTCTTTTATGGTCTATTTATTTTCTTTTGACAACAACTAACAGAAGATTACAGGATTATTTCCCAAGCTCACCATAGGTCATCAAATGTGGGGTTTAGAGGTACCACGCTGAAACGCTGTACGGTCGAGGACTACGGGAACAAGCAGCAACAGAGTTAAGGAGCACAGCTCAGTCCTTCAGGGCTCGACTAAGCCCTTTTAAATAGGAGAGCAAACTCCTTGACAAAAATCTCTGTACAGTCTAGGTTATGTTTACATGAACTGGCACATCCTCTGTTTCAGAAGCTTTAAGTAGTATTAGAATGCAGAGTCGGGACTGTAAAAATAAAGGTCAGGGTATTTTGGGGGGCAGTAAGCATGGAAGTAAATATGAAAGTTCTAATGCATTGATTATTCTATAGAAAGAAAGTAATGGGAGAAATTTTGATGCATAAAATGAAATCTTAAGATAGAGAGCTGGGTCAGCATTAAAGTAGACCTAGGTAAATTCATATAAAAGAGCTAATTTTGAGGAAAGCATCGATATGATGCATAAAATGAAATCTTAAGATAGGTAGAGTGCTGGGCCAGCATTAAAGTAGACCTAGGTAAACTCATACAAACGAGCTAATTTAGAGGAAAGCCTCGATCTAACAGATGAGATGACCTGCACGCAAACTAACTAGATGTTTAATTGAGGGATATCCATGAAGTCTAACTGGTCGTTTGCATGTACAGTTAATATGGCAGAACACTTATTTTCAGCAGATTTGCATTTCATTTTGTAGCCCCTAGTTTTTGCCTGTGGGATAGTTCGGACCTGGAAGTGCCAGGGGCCAGGGAAGGCACGAAGGGATTAGGAATAGTGGTTTTATGTACCAGAAGGCACATTTGCAGCAGCCCTATGCTTGTTTTTCAGAAAATCTCAGAGGAATAACACTATTATTTTAAATGATAGTCCTATTGCCTTTGTGCCCACTTTTGTTTTTTCTTTTTTTTCCCCTTTTCCCTGACAATTCTGTCTTGCTAGAAGTATAACAGTAGTGGGAAGATCTTTAGGATAGCATATTTTTTATTACAAAAGAACAGGAACTCTTCTCGATTCAGCTAAAGATATGACGGATTTGGATATGCAGGCCATTTAATAAAAATGTGATGACTGTTTAATTAAATATTTTTATTTCTATAACTGAATGTATTTGACATTTCTCACTACTCTAAAAAGGCAAGCAAAAAAAATGAAGATATTTTAATTCAACCATATAATCAAATTTTGCCCAAATCGCTGAAAATTATGACTATCTGCAGGGTAATTCACTACCTGCTCTCAGTGCTGTTTGACTGATTTGTTACTTCCTAGCCGAAGTTAATGCAAACGTGGCCTCTTCTTTTTCCATTAACAGCTGCTCGGGTATCCATGCCGCAGTGCTAGGACATAGATCACACTATTATGTGATAAGGAATTTCTGCTGAAACAGTTAAGCCATAAGCTCTGAACCTCCTTTTCAGAGTGTCAGAACATCTGTATCAAAAAGGCAGGAGTCCAAATAATCCTACAAAAAGCTCAAAGGCAGATGAGCATCAGGAAAACAAATAGTTTGACATACAAATTGATGCATAGCCCTTTTTGTATTGTAGACTGTCCCAAACTGCTCTTTTTTTTCTGTTTTATTTTCATTTGTTAGCACTTATATTTTGAGGAAAACCAATAGTACAGTAACACAATCGTGTTGGCAAAACACTCTAACCCCTTTTGGAGAGTTCAATTATCAAGCATTATTATACAAAAACATGTTGTTTTGTGTTTGAGAAATCAAAAGCAGAATTTGGTGGCAGAGAAATCATTATTGTCTGTAACTTTAACTCTGGCTATGTTATGCATAAGCTATGCAAACCTTTATAGGCAATTTATCAATCTCTCTTTGTACGATTCAGTTCAATATAGAACCAGAGATATCCAGATATGTTAGGATAAAAAGGAAATCTCTTTTATTTCCTGTTTTTTGAAATAAATAAGCTTGTTTGTGTTGTCTCTTTTTTACTATGAATGCCTGAAACTAGTTAGGAAATGCTAACTCCAAAAATGTGTTCTGTAGCATTTGATAGCCAAGATAATGGCAGGACAATCAAATTTTGGCAAGGATTCCCTATCCCAGATATGTATTGATAAGGAATGCAAGTGTTTATAGACACAGGTGGGAGGGGAGGAAGAATGACAGGGGGAGAATGGACAGAAAAAGCAAGTGAAAAGACAGCAACCCTGATGAGAATGCAGTGGATTAATATATTTGCGGTTAATTAATTTAGTGTTTCTTATCAAACTCTCTAATCAGAAAAAATAAAAAAAGACCTCTAAATTATTGGAAAATTGATGTTTAAAATTCTTCTAGAAGATGAACATTCACAGATGTTTACCATGTATACTTGCATAAGAGGGATATAGTTTTATTAGAGATAATATCTGTTGGCCAAATGTACTTCTGACAGTAATATCTTTATTACTGATATAAAAAAGTAGTCTTTATACTACTTGGCACATCAGGTATTTACATTTTTTGGTACTCTTAAAGACACTTCTGGGATTTCAGCTACAATTCATTCAGCTGACGCACATTTGAAGCTACTGCACTTAGAAGGAAAAAAAAAACGAAACTGAAAAAGTAAAGAAGGTAAAATCCAAACTTTCTTTTTGGAAACAGTATCAGTAACATTTTAAAATATTTTCCCTGCAGACCAGCTTACAGTATGGTACACATTCCTCAGGAATAATGAAGACGGTAGAAATTTATACAACACTTTGCCCATGTTTTGCAGAACAAGCTGTCGACTAAAGAGCTGGAATATGTTTAATGTTCAGACCTCCCACCTCCCCTGCTGCCCTGTGCTAATGAGTATGTGAAAAGCTGTTTCTTTTACACAATATCTGGAACTTCTATAGACAGAGCACATAGCTACGTGTGCCACATGTCACATTATCTCTCGTTGCGCAACTTGAGGGCTTAGATTTATAGCCTCTCTCTCATGTTACACAAGCACAAAGTAAGAAGGAATTGTGACAGCCTTGTAAATAATTAGATATAATAAGTGTAACATAACATAGATTCCAAATCTCTTTATCTTTTTCAGCCACTCCTTTGGCCTCATCTTTTGGGGTTCAAGATGCTTTCAGTTTCCACGAAAAAAACATCATCTCACAAAATCAGGCCAATAAAAAACACAATGCTTTATAGAATCTATTTCAGATAAAGAATTTAAGTAAACACAATCTAGGTAATAAAAGCCACATATGTTAAAAACCATAGATGCATTATTAATTACTGGACTTGTTGCATTGGTTAACATTTTAACTCGGTTGTATCAATCACTGAGTGATGGTTCGGCTCCATTGACCGAGTACTGCAAGAGGATGTCAAAACATTTTACCTGACAGGTATGTTTGTTCTTCCATTTGCTCAGCACACACTGACTGTTTTGCATCAAGTCCTGAAGGACAACAGAAAACAGAGAGCAGAGTTGGCATGCACACTGTCACTCTTGGTTAACATATTTTTCATATTTAAGTTTCTAGATGAAGAGTGCTACAGAAAGATGCAGCTGTTTTGGACAGTCCACCAAACAAAAGCACATTTATGGTCCCTGGGAGGGCTGGACTTTCATGAAAATTAAAGCTGTTGAAAGACGTCTGAAAACCAGATTTCATGTGGCTGCATTTGGAAGTTTCTGAAACATACCTCTACCTCCTTGAGGGTATCTCGCAGTTTTTCTGGTCGTTTGTTTTTAAGTATCCAAGGATAGCCTCGAGCTGGCAAATAAAAGCAAAAATAATAAAAAAAAGAGACAAATATGTACATATATATATGTGTATCTGTGCATATGTGTACAAGCTTATATATGTATATAGTAGAAAATGTTTCTTTTTCTGTGGTAAACACAGAACTCAGATTCCTAGGAATCACCTTAAACATAAAACAAAACGTATAACTGGACAGAAACAGGTAGATTTTCCATTGTCAAATGACAGCCTTTTGAAAGGCTCTATTGCAGAACTACTTAGCATGAAATACCCCTAACTATGATTTCACCATGGCAATTGTGCACAAAAAGCTGCCAAGCATTTGCAGGGAGAAGGACTCGCACATTCAGTATGTTTAATTCAGATTCCAGTTATCAAATCCTAGACAAATACTATTCTGATGAATTCACTGCCTGACTTCAAAGAGCAGGTGCAGATATGTCTGCAAAATATATGTGCACAAATGTACACATATATACAGGTAATAACAAATTGTGAATGTCACAACTTATGTTATGTAGTACAGTCATTTATAGAATTTGTTCTTAAAAATTTGGTCAAAGTTAAGCAAACAAAAAACTGTAAAGAAAGGGAAAATGTTTGAGCACAACTGCCAGGCTCACTCAGGTCACAGTCCTCTTGCACGCCTACACTCAATTAGCCTATTTAGGGCTATTTGGCAAACTATTTTGAAAATTGTGGTCTAATACAATAATCTGGAAACCCACAGGATGGCAAAGCTTCTGCTGGAGTGGCTGAGAATCAGACTCTAATAATTTCAGAAATTTCATCATTTGAAAGTTTTCTGTTCCTAAGTGTACAATGAAAACCATGAGACACTTAAACACATTTCCTTTTTTAATAGATTTCTTTCTATCTAGCCTACTTAAAAGAAACCCTGATAAAGAGTTTTGAGCTCTGAGCTGCCAATTCATAGGCCAACTTCCAGTCTGAATAACTTACACAGTTGTACTTAACAACTCCCCCACAAAAAGTAGCTTACAATGGAAATGCTATAGTGTGAAAAAATGAAGGATTTCATATATCAGCAAAAGAGCACACCAACATACAACTTCCCTTTGTATTTTACTGGACCAAAGCCAGTGGTGGTGGAACTGTTATGCTAATATTAATTATGTGTGTAAGATCGCATTTTCAGTAGGTACCGTCATAAATACTGGAATATTTATCCACATATGCAATATGGGAAACTGCCTGTACAGACACCAGGCTAAAATTATGAATCAGCAGCTGTGAATAAAGTCACCCAATGCTCCTCTTTAAGAAGATCCCATCAGGGTTTCATCCTGCTCCTTGGCCTGCTGCAAACAACTTGCCCTTCTGGAGTGAATTTTGGCTCCCAATCATTCCGTCGGGAATTTCAATCTGATCACATGAAATGTTAATGCGGTTTTAACAGCATATATATTACCTTGTGAAGTCTTCTAAAAATCAATTAGATTTTTCAGAGCAGTTAGGTATTAATGTGTGAATATTAACGTGTATATTTAATGCTGTAAAACTTGAGCCAGGGAAAAGTTATACTAATATAAAAAAATTTACCTGTCACAGCACTGTGGTGTGATAGTATGAACTGAAATTGCTTTTAAACAGATAAGGCAGGAACTCAGAATACAATGTAAATGTTTCAAAGCTAAAAACATTCTGTGGAGATAGCTGATTATTAACCTATAATTCTATTTCTGCTGAAAGTATTTTAGTTATAATTTTCAGTTGAGAGGCTGGTGGTATTTCAGTTCACGAGCTGACTGGAAAAATGTTTATTGCTCATTGGCAGACTGCTGTAAGGAAAACCCTGGATTGTGCTTGGAGAAGCAATGAGCACCACCATGTTTAGTGATACATAGAAGAAGATTGCAAGTACATCAGGAAGGAGGAGTTACAACTTTTCCAAGGTTTTGAGCTTTGTGGTTCTGGGCCAGTCTGGCTTCCAGCAAATGGGACGTGTAGAAAGCAACACTGGAAACAGCATGAGGTTATTTCAATGCTTTGCCAAGAGGCATCATCAATTCATATTAATCATTCAGTCTTACTATAACAAGAAACTCGGAGAGGTCCTTACATTCTGCAAACTGTTGCTTCTCTTCTAGGTAACCATACTTCATCTGCAACACTAAAGAGAAGGATGAAAAGACGCATGATAATCCTTACAACAGCTGTCAGCAAACATTAATATCGGAGAGCAGCTTCATGCACTCGGATAAAACAGAGACATTTACAAGAAATTAAGGCGGTCCTGATGTTTTCACCTGCGAGGTGGGATATCTTAAACTTGCAGTGACAGAAAGGCTCAGGCAGCCCTGCAGGCCGGCCCGTCAGCAGGGCAGGAGGAGGCAGCGCGCGGAGCCCGCGGCAGCCCCTGCTTTCCCTGGCCCCGGCCAGGAGGTAACTCCGGCTGAAAAGGCCTTTTGGCCCGTCAGGAAACTTGGAGGATTAACAGGATTAATCAGATAAAGAAAATGGATCGTTCACTCCGAAATGGCCATTTCTGCTCCGCGCGGCGCTCGCGCGCGCTCGCGATGCCCTCTGCTGGGATGTATCACCCAGCAGCCTGTACTAAAGCACTCGACTGTAGGGAACGTCGCTTAGTTTTATTTCTGGGTAAATATTTACATTTTACCTGGTTCACTCTTCTCGTAATACTGGTGGGTCCCAATATCTTCGTCTACAAGAAACAAAACACAATGAAGCAAGCGAAGGGCGACCTCTCACTTTTTGCTGGCTGGAGCAGAGCATCAGGTGTCACAGTGGGAAGGTAAGACAACATATTCCCTGCATGCCAGTAGACCTTCAAGACCCAGCAAGGGGTATATGACGAACCCCTACATTAATTTGGAGCTGTCCTTCCCATCACATACATGATAAGGCCCTGCTGCTAAAACGAGGCCTCAGCATGCGCCAGGCATGGAGCCCATGGGGACAGGGAGCACTTGGGGCAGCTCCTCGCCCGACCCGTTGACACGTCCGTGTGCCCTGGCAAGGGGCACCCAGTCGAGCTGAGCTCCTACGACTTTAAGTTGCAGCGTTTTAAAATCAGCATGACAGATTTCTAGACTTAAACTTGTGGGAAATTAATACATGCGTGGAGAGGAAGCAAGAAAGTTGGTCAAAGATAGGAAATAAGTGCAGGAGGCCAGAGTACACTTTCAACTGCAATAAGGCAATACTATGTGTTCTATTTAAGCCGTCAGATTTTTGTATGAAATAGAGCTTTTTGACTTTTTTATATTACAGCTACGGAACAGTTTTCATGCAGAAGTGGAATGCTAAGATATACTGAGTCAATTTTTCAATAATCACATTCATGTATGGTTTGCAGCAAAACTACAGTACACTATGATTGGCATGAAATGTCAGCAATAACATTTTGATATCATCTATTTCTAAATCAGTGGGGTTTTTTTTGAGCATCAGATTTTACCAGTAACAAGGGAAGATGCATATATGTAATTTCCACAAGGCTGGTAGTTAGTCACATGCCTGCTGGAACAATCGATGAATAAGATAAATAAATACTTTAAATTTTCCAGTAACCATGTAAAATATCCAGAACATGCAGCAATTTTTATTATTCATGCTGAAGTACAAATCACAGTGCCTCTGCAAATCAGCTCGACTACTGATTTCCATTCACCCAAACCAGTCATTACACTGAAGCCTACAGTCAGCAGGCTGTAGATTCCTAAAACATAATCACAACCTTTTAGGCTTGAAATGGTGCTCCAGCTTTATGATAACTGAAGATTCTGATGAGGTTCAAACATAATATTTCTATTTTTTTTCTCTGAAGTATGAAAACATTTCATTTGTGTATTCAGAATTTTGTATCAAGTTAATATTCACCAAAAGGAATTCTTGTTCTGTTTTAGTAACAGGTAATTGCTCACTTACCTCTAATATGTAAGGTGTTCTTCAAAGACCAAAGGTGCATCTCAGCCAGGCAGAAAGACATCTCATGGCAGATGAAAACTCAGCACTATCAAAAAAAGGGTAAAAAACACATGAGCAAATTAATTACTCTCTATCACTAGTGAAACTGCAGGTATTTCAGCAACCAAGTAGGAAAAGAGCTTAGCATTGGTGATGATTTGTTACTTTTAAGTTGTAGTTCTCAAAAGCAACAAAATGAATGAATGAGAAATAAAGAGGATAAAAAGTGTATTTGTTTATATATTTACATATGAGAAGAGCCAAATCAATATCTGCTCTTGAATTTACAGTTAACCTCACGATAGTGAATAACTGTGCTCAATGCTTCTCGTATATATGTTATAATTAATTTTTACTGTGTGCTTCTTACCTTGACACATGCAAAAGTTAAACCACTGCTTTCAGATCTGGCTTGTAGATATGAGAATTTTACTTTGGGGCAAAAGCTTTTTAACACACTGCACATTGGGAGGTACCAATATGGTCAAGAAACAGTTTTGAGCATAATGTTCTTGCAGGCTCTAGATATAATGCTAAATATCAAAAACAATGTTTTTCTAAATAAAGACAAAACACTTGTGTCAAATCAGTAGGGAAACAGCAGATGTGAAGCATGTAAAAGTAATGAATTGAAATATTTTGTGCAATGACTGCAATTATTAACTGTTTGCTGGGCGTGTTGGGAGTGATCCGTCTGAACAGCCCCCTTGCAAAGGGGTTATATCTCAAGGGAGCACTGGGAATCTTTGGAAACGCGGGAACCCACAGAGTGCCCCAAGTAGTTTCCAGGGCACCAAACACTTAGTGCCACGGCTAAAATGGGCCGTGGGACCAGTAACGTCGGTGGCTTTGGCTAAACCCAAGACTCCACTAAAAACCGGACTCTGAAGGGGAACTTGGGCAAACACAACAGAAGTCAAGAGTCGCTGTTGGTTTGGGGCTAGGCATAGATATTTTTCTTTTTCTGAAGGGGGCTCTTCATTTTCTTTCCATAAGGGCGCTCTAGCTAATGTTGTCAGAGGGATGAACCTATTAGTAGGAGACTGCAGAATTCCTATCACGTAACGAGTGTCAGACATAAACGTCCGGAGCGCTGTGATGAAACCATGTGCTGGAATCTCAGGTAGCACCAAGAAACCCATGGCAGTCCCAGCAGAGCTGTGAGACCTGCAGGTATTATCGCTCCAACTAATACGTGTGTTTTGATGCACTGCCTAATCCACTGAAATAGCACCAAGGAGAAATAGCATTTTCTTTACACTGATCCCCAAATGTACAAAGTCTTGCTGACTTACTAAATCCCATAGTCCTATCAAAAAAAAAAAAGGGAAAAGCTCACAAAACACATACACACATCGAGTAAATGGAATATACTTTTGTTTGGGGTGAGAATGAGGTTTGGAAAAAAAAGGCACCGAGATTAACAGCATGGTGGTCTGTGTAACCTGGGGACATGCTCCTGATGTTAATGCGGATGAGGGCAGCCCCTCGTTTCCCATGTGCACTTTAGGAAAAAGAGCCTGTATATTATAATTCTCTTTTTTTTTTTCATTCTTTTCTCTCTTACGTTAACAAGTGAAACAACTTACATCCCCCAAGGCCCAAAGATGCTAGATTAGAATCTCTCACTGAGGGGAAGTCACTGAATTGAGTGAACTTCTCAGAATCCGATCCCGGGCTGACTTCAGGCCAAGGCCTTGAGGGCCAGGCAGCCTGGCCAAGGCCACCGAGGAGACTTGGGCACGACATTGCACGAACGAAGGTTCCCAAAACCACTCGAGACCCCACCAGGTCCCTTCAGTTCTGACCTCTCACTGAATATAAAGTCATCCCCTACCATTTTAATACCCTGTGTCACCTCCAGACTGACAGGTCAGGAAAGCAGAGGGGTGAGTACCGAGAGGACCTTCACATCCTTGTTTTTGTCACAGAGTGGCAGGGCCAGGCCTCCAAAAACCAGAAGGAAGCTTCAAATGAGCACTCTCTCTTCAAGGCTCATAATTTTAAAAATTTGAACTCAGAAGTGAGAAAATAAGAAAGTGCTGTAAAGAAAGGTTAAAAATATATATAGTTTCTTAAAAATTGTACTTCAGTTTTGTACTGAACAACCTGAAGGGAGCAAAATTCTCTGCATAGCTCCAACAGAGTAGAAGATTGATTTTACCAATTACTCCAGCCTTGAGGACTAAACAACAACTGATTTTATTGCTTTCCCCTTCTTTGCGTCACAAACCAAGCCATGTATATGAATGGTGGAAACTCCTGCTCTATCATCTGCCCAAAAATACTGATCCCCGCCCTTTAAAACTGAGCACAATTGGGAAAATGGGATCAAGGCAGTCCATTGTTAAGGTAAATCTGGAATTCAGTTTAATAGCCAGTTCTTTTCTTTGGCTCACTCAACATTGCCTGGCCGCTTTCGCAATATTCCCACAAACAATAGGAATGTTTGGTGGCTGCAAAAGCTCACTGACAAATGGAGATATTTGGCAGTGCTTAGTCTGCTCCAGTGTCTCGAATGCAGAAAGTAACCAAATAATAATAATAAAAAAGCCACAAAACCAATTTTCACTAGTTATGATATACCAGGCTTTTTTGGCATATAATGCTATTTTGTGAGAATCATTGCAGACCACCCTTTGTTTTTCCCATTTTACATTAGTTGAATTAATGATAGTCTTAAATTTACGAGGTCATACCTTAAAACTGAAGGATTTTCTATCTTCGTATTCATATGAAAGCAGTTTCTGTCAGCATGAATATTGAGACATTTTGTGTAATGTGCATGAGGAAAATGCAAAAGTTATTAGCTACGCTGGACACTAATCCAGAAAAAATAATTTGGTTACACAACAGCTCTCCTACTTCTAGATTTCAGAACAAATTACCATTGGTCCTGGTTCTGCCCTCCTTCCTCCCACCCTGTGACCATCGTATCTTCAGCATCACCAGAGCTCATTCCCAACGCCTGTTTTGTATCTTATCACCTCATCCAACGTTCGACCAACTCAGCAAGCCACCAATCCACCCCACAACTACTTGTATGCTGTTTTGTGCCCATGTGGAAGATGGAGGGAAGGGGGAATAGCTTCGGGATGAACGTGGAGGCACGATGGCTGTGAGTGCAGCCAACACAGGGAGGAACTGGAAGGGAAACGGGAGAGAAAGGACAGCAGGAACCCGAGAGCCCTGGAGCGCAGGATGTAGTGGAAAAGGGAGAGACTGGGACTGTAGTGGAGGGAAGGAGGGGACACAGGATTTGTGAGGAGCTGAGGTGTCCCAGCACCACGTCAGAGAGGAGCACAAAGCGATGCCAGCTGCGCAGCAAGGGTCACTGCAGCTGTGGAGCAAATTCCTCGGAAATTGGACTTCATTAGTTCTGTTGCTTGGTGAATAAATTGTCATAAATGTATTCCCAAATGTATTTGTTTCTCACAGATGGATACAAGAGAGTAAGCAGCCTAATTCCCGTCTGTGACACCGGCCCCAGCGCTCACAGTAGATGCTGTGAAATACATGTGTGAATAGTTTCTTGTTCCTGTGCAGAAATCCAGCGATGCAGGAGCATCCCAATCAGGTTTTAAGGCCTTAGTTCCTTGGACCCAGCTCTGATTTTTACCAGAATACTTTTAAATCTCAGAAATGTTTGGATTTCTGACACTGTAGGGATAGCACAGAAGGCAATTGGGAATTTATGGGCTGCAGTGGTGGCACGCTGATCTAGATGCTCCATCCCACAACCCTTTCGTTGGGTTTCACCAGTCAGAATTTGTATCACGTAGAAACTCTTGCAAAAAAAAAGTTATTGTCACTTCATTCTTAAATGTTTAATTCATTTAATTACAGCAATAGGATGTAATTTTCTAAGAAGTGCATGTTTTAGTCTTCGTCTTCCACTTTGCACTGGCAAAATCTGAGATATGTGCAAAGTAAAGGGAAGCTTTCACGGACACAGGGCATGACAGCTAGTGTCCAAGGCCCATCCACAATAAAACTGTGCTTAGTCAAACAGTCAGTGTTGTTTTGTCACTCCAGACCAGATCAAAAATGCCATGACTACATAAAGCAAATGACTGACCTATAAATTGGATCAGATGGGTTACAAATCCTTCTGTAATTGTAACCGTGGCTCTGGTAGTCCCCTTCTTTCTGCTCTGCAGCTGACCCGGGGTATTTCAGCGACCCTTTTCTGCTCCAATTCGCTGCTTCCACATTTCAGAATATCACGTTCCCCTTGCAGACTTGGCCTTGCTCCTTCTCCTCCCTTTTCTCTCGAGATGCCTGTTGAGCTCAGATCCAACTTGTCTGCTGCTCCTTCCTCAACTCTCTCTTACAACTGTTATCTCCAGAACCTGGGACTGCTCCTCTTTCCTGATTTTTTTGCTGCCTTTAGCAACATAATGAGCTGTATTCTTTTATTTACTTTTCCTTTAAAGTCCTTTTCTCTAAGAAAAAAAATGTAGAATTTTTCCTGTAAATGAAAATGAGTACTTCTGCTTCTAAGAGCAACCCCAGTTATCTCCAGAACCTGGGACTGCTCCTCCGTGCCTGAATTTTTTGCTGCCTTTAGCAGCATAATGAGCTGTATTCTTATATTTATTTTTCCTTTAAATTGCTTTTCTCTAAGAAAAAAAATGTAGAACTTTTCCTGTAAATGAAAATGAATACTTCTAAGAGCAACCCCAAATTTTAAGAAGCAGAAATACAGGCATGCTGTTATAAACCGATTCAGTACATAATTATTCATATTAAAATATTGGTTTAAGAATCTTTCCAACTAGTACAAATAGCAAGTTGTTCAACTACCCCAAGTCTTTAGTTCTAGACAAATAGACAAATCTTATTACTGCTGCTACTTCCATTATCTTTAATGCAGAAAGCCTTCAGTGACTGGAAATATTTCTGCCAAACACAGGAAAGAAACAAATTCTCCTTATTCTAACTGCCTCAATTTAAGCAAGAAAACTATTATGTAGATGGGTGAAGAACACACAGAATACTCTCTGTATTGAAACACACAGTGAAGCTTCTATTGTAAGAAAGGCCTA